ATTCTTCTATAAATATTTATATATATATATTCATTTATTTTTATTTTATATTTATATTATATAACAAATTGAGCAGTGACTTTTCGCGTTATTGACAGGATCTTTTGTTTCAAATATATAAGCGTGTTTTAAACGCTTGATATATTCTACTTGTCATTGTTTATACTTTTTTTCGCATATGTCTAATTTCTAACGAAACCATAGATAACATTTTGTACAAAATCGGATCAATTTCAAAATCGGTATCTGTTTCTTCGCAAAAGACGAGTAATGTTTTTTAATACAAATAAAAAAATGTGAAATATCCATCGTACAAAAAAAGAAGAAAAGTAAAAAAAAACCGTGGACAAAAACGTAAGTAAAAGAACGAAAAGAAAAAAAAAAGAAACAAACTAATCACCTAATTTTGTCTCAACCATTTTGGTACTCGTGGTAAACCCTTCAGACAAGGGAAGACCAAAAATAATAGTTAAATTTTTCTCAACGTTTCGGTGGGAGGGTGGAGGGATGGGGTGTCAGGGGGTGTCAGGGGGGGGGGAATCGATTTATCTTAGCTTTCGAAAAGACGAGTAACTCTCTTCGAGGAATAAGAGACGCGTTGATTTTCAACGCCCACGAGGAACCTCTTAAAAGGTACACGGGGTTTAAAGCGCGTCAAGCAGCATTTTGTGATAAAGCTGACGTGATTTTTCAAGTCTCTCATGGCGCGTCGATAGAGGGGTGATATCCGACATGCAAGACGAGCAACATATGCGCAAACGGACGAACGAGATAGACGGTGGTCTTCTTTTTTCCAAGATAGGAACGACCTAACACCCCATTTGTTCGAACCTCTCTATCTCTCTCTTTCTTCTTCTTTCTCTCTGTCTCATTTATAAGAAGGATTAAAAAGGTCTTTTGCCCTTTCACTAAAAGATAAAAATATATTCTTCCCAATCACCGCCTATTCCCTTTTATTACCTCAATATATCTATTTTCTTCTTTTTTGTATGTTTGTATTTAACCCGAGAAAAAGGGGCTTCTTATACATTGATTAGGATAAATTAAAAAGATTGATGTGTTTATTAAAGAAACTAATCCATTAGCGAATTATACAATTCTATTCTTATATAAAATATCGGAAAAATGAAAGACTAGCAATGAATAGAAGTAATTTTCGTTGATCTCGCAAGGATAATCGACAAAATGGCTAATAGAAATTTCTTTGTTGTAAGCATGATTAGACAATTTTAAGAACCATCGGTCATACGTTCAATTTTCCGAAAAAAGGAAAGGAAAGAAAGAAGAAGAAGAAGAAGAAGCAGACGAAGAAAAAAAAAAAAGGGCGGGAGGAAAATCTTTCGAACCTGTTTACCAGCTACTTCCATCCCCTCTCTCTTTGAATTTTCACGTTTTGCCGGACAAAATCGCTGCATGCGGTCCCGAGATGATCGTTCAACTAAAATACAGAGTTATTCTAAACGTGCTTCAAATGCAAAGGTTCTCTGGGTCGATTCACGGTTCGCTTATTTCAACGTTTGTTGTGCATACCCACATATGCATGTATTTTTTGTGTGCATGTATTATTATATTATACGGCTCACGGTATCATTATGCAACGATTTCTCCTTTTGCGTCGTTGAAAACGTTGCTGAAGTAAAAACCGGTCGCCAAAAGAGACGGCAAATCTTTGCCTCAAGCTAAATATATGCAACATTTTATTTGCCTTCCATTTAAAAGGGTGACAATATCCATCGACAGATTTCAACGATCGAACAAAAATGATCATACGAAATGATATTATTATTTTCCTTTTTTTTTCTTTCTTTTCTTTTTTTTTTTATCCTTCCGTCTTTTTTTATTCGATTCGAAGTAATTGTAAAAGGGGAGGAGAATGGGGGGGGGTATCGTTCTTGATGAATTCTACACGTTAAAGGACGTAGATTAAAGCACGTGTTCTTTTTTTCTTCTTTTTTTTTTTCTACTTCAAAATGTCTGAGAAAACATCCAGTTAGTCGAGTCAACGATTAATCAGTTGTCACACTCGGGTGTGATCAATGTTTAATTTTCCATTTATTTTCTACGTACTACGGATACGGATACTTTCGTTATCGTCACTTTCGAATATCTTAACTCGAAGGGAATGAAAGGAAAAGGAAATGGATTTCGACAGGTTTACGAAATATGTTTCTTTATACCTAAGAAAATAATTATAAAAAATTGAACAAATATTACACGCGCGAGGTGGGAAATAGATTAACGATTTTCGGGGAAAAAATTTAAAGATAAATTTAGAGTATGAAAAATAAAAAGAATTAAAATAAAATATATAATAAAAGAATTCTAATATAAATATGTTAGAAGTATATCCGATCATTTTCCAATATTCCTATCTCAATATTCAACTTCATAAATTATTAGTTTATTATTTATGGCGCGTATATGAGAAATTCGTAAATTTACATATCGAAATCGAATTCGATAGTATCTCACTCAGTTAAGAAACAAGACAACGACGTTGAACATTCGAGCACTCCACCCACGCGAACGAACGAACGAACGAACGAATGAACGAACCACCATCACCGAACAACAACGGCACCACCATAGTCGGCAGCCATCATTGGTGATTATCACGCGCCACCGCGGCTGTAAAGTCGTAAATAAAATCGAAAATCGTTGTTGCGTTGTGTTGTGTCAGGGTTGCGTTGCGTTTCGTTATGTTGAGTTGTGCTACGTTGGTTACCTTTTGGCTGGTCCAGTGTTAAAACAAAGGGCCAACGGTTTGTCGGGTCTGCTCGACATATCTTTCATCTCTGTTTGCCGAAGCACCCTCATCTACCACGAGATAATCGGAAATAATTATTCGTTAGATAAATACGATCGCAGTCGTTGATAGCCGAGTTAAATTTATGATGGACCGGTGCCTCTTGCAAATGATGCTCGGACTGAATGAACGAACCCCCTGGACTTGGCACACACCCGTCGTCGTTTACTATGTATCTTATTTCTTCAAACTCATTCCTATCTCATTGCCCTTTTCAATAGGACCACCAAAACCTTACTTTGATACAACTCATCAATTTTGATAACATATTCTTCCACCCTCCCTCTCTCTCTATCTTTTTCTCGACGATCGATACCAAAACCAATTATTTTCTTCTCATCTAGATTTTCATCAACAAACATTAATGGGAATCTATCTGATTATACACAAATTTATTGAATTCATTTAAAAAGATCCCTCCCACGAAATTGTAATATTATATATTAATTCCATTGAAAACAAAAAAAAAACAAAAAAGAAACCAATTTAAAATCAAATTACGTATATTATCTTTAATATACCGTATGATTTTGATTAATAATAATATAAAAAACAACAACAAAAATCTATCAATAATAATAATAATAATAATAATAATAATCGGTTTTAAAGACGACGACACTGAATTTCTTTTTTTATTATATGTGTGCATAACCCAAAGAACGCGTTCTTCGAACACGTAAAAGAAAATATTGTCGGCGTGGGTCGAATGTAAAAGGAAAGCAAGCAACCAAGCAACCAAGCAACCAACCAACCAACCAACCAACCAACCAAGCAGGAGGACTGTTCCTCTTCTTCTCTTGGCAAGCTTCCCCGAGCACAGTGTATGACTGTAATCTTAGGCTATCTAACGTAGCGAACGTAGCGAGGTGATGATTTGCGACCTCCCTGCAGCGCCCTTGTAGAAAGATAAAGACAGAGAGAAGATACCCATAAGGTAAGGGAACGGGTAAAGAAGAGGGTGGTGACTCTGACTCGGACCTTTAGATTCAATTTCGCGGGGCGTCAGAGCGGCTGACACGACGTCCGCCCACCTTTTGTTAAAACTTGATGTACGACACGGGATCTTATGTTCCAACCCGTACCCCGTATACCCCCTTACCCCAATGGTACCATTCTATTCCTCCTTTCGAACCTCAAAATCAAATTTCGTCTAACGCAATACATTAATTTCTTCAAAAAATCACATCGACCAATAATATTATTTCATTCCATTCGAAATTTAATTAATCCTGCAAAATGTTCTTTATTTTTTTTTTCTTTTCTTTTCTTCGTCTTCCTTTTATTATCAAATTCAATACAAATTCTAAAAGTATATTTCTAACTTGATTTTAGGTTCTTCATATTGGTTTTTTTTTTCTCTCTCTCTTCTTTTTCTTTGAAACCTTCGGACCTACCCAATTCCAACGAATCCTTTTCTGAATTAAAAAAAAAAAAAGAAACAAAAACAAAAAAGATTAAAAAGGTAAGTTCGGTTCCTTTTTTTCTCTAACCCCTCTCCTCCCTTCTCTACCACTCCTCCCCCTCCCCTCCCACCGCGAAGAGACGAAAACGATTCTTCTCTTTAAGCCGTTCCTACGTTTTTACATTCTCGACGAAATCCTCCTCGAGGTCTTTGTGCCAGTTTATTACGTTTCCCGGGCAAATGATGTCATTAGATATACTTAGGCGAGACTTTATAGTCGTCCTTTATGTTGCTTGAACGGCTCCCGGGTGAAACGAATTTAAGAAACTTATGGTTCAAGAAATCATCGTCGCGTCCTTCGGTATATACCGAAACATTTCGGTTTAGTTGCTGCTCCTTGGACAAAAAACGATTATGCAAAAGAGAACCAACTATTTTCATCTTTTTTATTACTTCTTTTATTAAAACCGAACCTTGAAAATAAACTTCTATTTTATTCGTCTTTAGACCAGATTTTTTTTATTACCCATATTATTACGACCTCTTTCGAACCATTAAATATTTTGATTCTCGACTGATAAAATTCGTCGCGTGTCAAAAGTTTACGTTATGCAAATATAATAAACAAAACAAAAAAAAGAACAAAAAAAAAAACAAACAGAAAATATTACGATCGATCATGTATATTCGATATTTTTGTATTTAAGGTTATTAAAATTCTTTTTTAAATTCGATTCGCTAATTCTTGATCAAAATTAAATAAATTAAAAATATTATAACGTAGAAAAAATGCCAGTTGAAATTCCTGTTTGCGCTTTAAATTCACCGTCGAGGGAATACTTTTTTCGCAGAAAGCATAAGAATTTCTTTAAAAGAATGGCTCGAAAAACGCACTTCACGTACAGAGAGGTGGAAGGTTAAGTAAATTCTAATTATTTGAATAAATCCAGCACAAATTTCGAATTTATTAATTATTATAATTCGCTCATACAGCTTTGTCTGTGATATACAGAAAAGTGTTGAAAACTTGCGGTCCAATGACGCGTTCGGTTTTTCGCGATATATTTCATTCCGGATTTGATTTTACCGAAAATATTCGTCATATATTGATCGACAGAATATTTTCTACCATCGATAAAACTACTTCTCTTCAAGTGAGATTATAAAATGAATTTATATTAACAACGAGATCCGAGAAATTATTATTAAAAATGATTTATTTTGTAGATTCGTATGGATCATTGGATCGAAGCACTCTCGATCATTCTTCGTGGAACTTTGGACGAAAGAATCAACTTTGCTTATAAAGTATAGCGAAACATTTGATTTCTTTCTTTTATAAAATATATATTTGTCAATTATTAATAATTAATTAATTATAATTTCTCCGATAGGTTTATGATTTGTTAAAAACAAACAGATTAAAAAAGGAACAAATTTTTCCAATGATGAGAGGTTGTTTAATCGCTTATTCACCCGATGAAGATCCAGACGATGGTGTCAAAGTAAATATTACACCCCTACAAGAATTCGTAAAGGGCGTCTAACTTTGAACATTATTATTTTTTGTCTACAGGACTTGATAGACCTGATGATTAAAAAACTCGACGTAGATCGTGATGGATACGTTTCTGAAGAAGATTTTGGTACAGCAGTGAAAGAAAAAGGAGAAGTATTGTTGGAATGCATGGGTCCCATATTTCCATCGAGAAATGCACGACATTCATTTTTAACAACATTTACCGATCAAGTTGGACAAATTTAATGTTTGAAAATGAGGAGATAAACAAATTTATTGTTTGAAAAATAATCTAATAGGGTAAAAATGAAAAGTAGATTTTTGTTAAGCTTCCTAAGAGGTAGATACTCGAAGTATCTAAAAGTACATCATTTATTTTTCACGCCAATGAATTTACAAACTTGCTCTAATCAGACAGAAGATATCCGCCTAAACGCTCCATTAAGTTTTCCAAGTCATCGGTCTAGCCTTCTAGCGAGTCTTAAAGATTTACAAAAGTAGATCGAAAGTAGCGACGTTTACCTACGTAAACAATCGTCAATGATGCATTATAATAGCATTTATTGGATACATTACGTAAATCAACATTTAAAGATTTTCTATATTTTCTTTTATCGTCTTGTATATAAAAAAGAAAAAAGAAAAAAGAAAAATTGCAAAATAATTTATCAACGGTGCGTAGCGTTTAAATTAATAACAAAATCAAAATAACAAAAATTATATTTTCGATTATCCCAACACTATTATTTTCTTCTCACGAATCCTAACATTTGAAAGAACCAAGGATACAAATATTTCTTACCGACAAAAGTTCGAGCCATTCTCATCGAACGAGTTTTATAACCATAAGTAAAGGATTTGAAGTAAACACGAAATTGAAGAAGAATCTAAAGAATAGTCGTGTAACGCCGCGCACCGTTAGAAAGCCTTCCTCCGGGTGTATTTCGATTTTGGGTTTGACGAAATCCTTAGGTTAAACGTGTTACGGAAAAACATAATGAATGTTTGACGATCCGTTGAGGTTTGAACGAGCCCAATATACACACACGTATAAACGTATATATATATATGTATATGTATATACACACATAAACACTTCTCAAGCAGCTATAACAACAAATTAAAGGGAGAAAATCTCTCGAAGCTTTCGTCGTGTAGCAACGACGGCCTCGAACACTATACTCGTTGTGTAGTACCGAACACACAACCGTAAATTCCACTTACAAGAGTTGGTAAGAAGATGCGTTTGCGTGGGTGGTTTGGAGAATGTATGAGTAGTATTTCTTCTATGTGGAAGTGTATTTATTCTCTTTCTCTCTCTTTCTTTCTTTCTTTCTGTGTTCGCCTCTTCAGCAAGTCTTTTTTTAGGGGGGTTGGAGGTGGAACGATATTGTGTAAAGAGTATAATAACGTGCGTATGAAAAGCGAAATCCTTTGTGGGTAGCCGACCGTGTCCTGAAAGGATCTGTCTGCGTGTAGGAGAAAGAAAGAGAGTAAAAGAGAAAGAAAGAGAGAGAGAGAGAGAGAAAGAGACGGTAGAAGAGAGCTGCGCGGAATGATCGTCCGAGAGTTAGAGCACCAGCTGAGAAAACATGCCCGTGGCGTGTCGACGATGAAACACCCTATCTACGCGACCCTTACTGACGTGTATATAATGTTCTCTTTTCGTACTTATATGTACCTTCCGAATATCTATCCATGTAAGTGGGGAGGCTTGAGAAATTCGGTTTACCAGAACATTTCATTATTTTATAGTACACGTATCTTCTCTTTCTTTTGTTTGTTTTCTTTTTTATCGACAACGAGATTCTTTACAAGCTACCTCGTACTCTAAATGTCATTTTCTTATTAAAAGTCGATTCGTTTATGATGATTTGAGTATCTCTTTCGATAGACGAATGTTATAAGAAAGAATTTCGTAACTTGGGTATGTCAAATTTTTTGTTTGGTTTTTTTTTTATTTTTTATTAAGGTCGATCCCGTGCACGCGATACAAAAATATAATATATTTGTATAGTAAATATAAATTTAAAAAATATATATATATATATTTAAAAATTAACAATATTTTCTTTTTATTAAGTTCGATTTGGTGACGTGATACAAAAAATAATATATATATATGGTATATATAAATTCATGATAGGTCGAATGGCATAATATGCGTAGATATATGTATATCTACATAAATTATAATCAGAGAACGTGTATATATACAAGACTCGCTTCGGGTGAAGGAGGATAACCGTTGATTTGAACGGAACGCGATGATGAGACGCAAGCTCCGATTCGATTTGCGTGGCCCACGCCCACGCATCAAAGGAACCCGACCGGCACGATTCGTCTTGTGTGGAACGATTACGAAAGTATCTTTTGCGAGAGATATTTATATTGATACAGATATATCCTCGCCAGTATGATAAATCCTCGATCATGATTCGTTTCGGAATGGATTTACTCGATTAATCTAAAAAAAAAACTTTTCAAATTAAAATTAATCTCAATTTTTGTCATTGTCAATTTAACATTAATGTGAAAAAATTTGAATAACCTAATCTCTACTTTAAATAAAAACCACAAATTTAAAATATATAATATAATATATATATATATATATATATAATCTTCGAGTATGTACCTCTTGGAAAGCTTAACAAGAAATTACTTTCATTTTTGTTATTATATTATTTTTCAACCAATGATTTTTTTTCTCCTACATATATATTATATTATATTTATTCGAAAAAGGTAAGTAAGATAGAAATTTATTGGTAATAAATAATTGTTCCTCCCACCCTACCCCCCTAAAAAAAAAATAATAATAATCGTATAAAAATTATTAAAGGAGTGTAAATGGGAAAAGTATGATAAAAGGAGTAAGATATCAGAAACGTACGTTAACTCGATATCTTGAATAATTCAAGAAATATACATTACCTACACCTATATATATATGTATATATATACTCGTCGTGGATCGTGCGAGATCGTTTGATTTATTAAAGGAGAATATTGTTTACCGTGTCCCGCCACGGGCCTCGTGTAGTTTGCCTTTCGGAATCGCATCCATAAATACGAAGACGAAGACGAGGACGAGGACGACGACGAGAACTCGCACGATGCTTTTCGAAGAGGAAAGGAATAATAAAGAGAGGAAGAAAATGGAAGGAAGCACGAGAGAGAGAGAGAGAGAGATAGGGAGAGGGATGAAAGAGGGCCCCATGCTTGCACAATGTTTCGCGCGTGGAATGTTCAATGAAGCGTGCAGATGCGTTCCCTCTGCATTTCCCTCCTCCACCTCCTCCTCCTCACCTCGTCACCCTCACTCTCACCCTTACCATCCACCCCCTCCTCCTTTCCATCTCTCTTTCACTCTCCTCTTTCAACTCGATTTTACTTCGCACGAGAAGAGGAACCCACGTGTTCCGCTGGTTAGAATCGAACAGAAATAAGATGAATAAGAAAAAGGAGAAGAAGGAGGAGGATGAGAAGGAGGATGAGAAGGAGGAGAAGGCAGCAGCAACAGCAGCAGCCAAGCAAGCAATAGCAGCAGCATGAGGTCACCCGTTCGAACACGACACCGTCTTGTCGAAACAGCGGGATCTGCTCTGACACGAGCGTTCTGGGACAAATGGATTCAGGAAGATCCCGCTAACGAGAATCCGCTGATTTATCGCGTTCCTAACTACGTTCTTTTTTCCTTTTTTTTTCTTTTTTTTTTTCTTTCTTTTTTATTTCTCGTTCCTTTTTTCCATCTTTTTATTTTTTCTCCAATATTTTGTATTCTTCCTCAATTATTCCAACTTTCCCCCGTTCTCGTTTTATCTATCGAGTTTTTATACACCAATCTTTTTTATTTCTTATATTCTTTTTACCGCGTAATAAGAAACGCGATGGTTTATTTCGTCTATGATGATTTTCCCTTTTTTTTTCTTTTTTTATTTCTATAACGATTGATACAGTTTGTTAACTTTGTGGATTTAACGAGAACCTACCCACCCACGTAGTCTAGTTCATTCTTTTTGCCATATCGAGAAAGAAGAAAAAATTCTTATACTATGAACGTGATTTAAAGCGTTATATCACGACTGGCTGCACATGAAAATGAATCGATCATACGTGGGGGAAACGAATTCAAAGAGAAAGGTTTGTTCTCTGGATTTAAATCGAAGTCGATAGTACTGGAAATCGTGTTCTGGATTTATAAATGTGATAGACAGAGAGAAAAAGAAATAAAGAGAGAAAAAAAAGAGAGAGAGAGAGAGGAATCAAAATGTACAATTTTTTTTTTACTCTTTCTTTTCTTTCTATATATATATATATATATATATTGTATATATCTATATACACATATAGATGCTGTAGGAAGGAGCAAGAGAGAAAAAAAAAAAAAAAAAANATATATATATATATATCTCTTTCTCTTTCTCCTTCTCTTTCTTTATCTTTATCTTTCTCTTTCTTTCGTACTTTCGTTCGCCCAACGCAGAAACTAAAGTTACGTTGCACACCGTGACGGACGGCCACATTAAATCAAGCACCGGCTCTTCCAGCTGTTTGTTTCTTCGCAGAACAGATTCAATTTTCTCCCCGACGTCTCGCAAATCGGTGGATATAAGCAAACCTCAGCCAAGATGCCTCGCGACGACTGACATAATGCCCGCCTTCTCCTGTCCTGGACCACAAACGGAGAGTACCTTCCTTCACTTCCTTCTTCTCTCCTCTGACCCCTCGTCTTTTCAACTTTTCTCCTTTCTTTTTATTTCTTCCTCTTTTTTTTTTTTTCTTTTTCTTTTTCTTTTCTTCTTTTTCTTTTTCTTTTTCTTTTTCTCCCCCAATCCCCACCCCGCCAAAGGAAAGTTGGTCATTCGCAAATGAAGTCATTTGCCTTTAAGTTCGTCATGAAATGAGAGAAAGAAAGAAGAAGAAAAAAAGAAAATTATTAAAAAAGGAACGAATCAAATCCATGAAGATCTCGACGGTGAATTTAATTAAAGACATTTCACCATAATTGTTCATACGTTCATTTAAAATGATGACGGAATGAACGAGACAGAGACAGAGAGAGAGAGAGAGAGAGAGAGAGAGAAAGAGAAAAAATTTATTATACGAATGAAAAATAAATCATCAATCACTTTTAATGAATTTAATTGTATATTTTGTATATACTCGAGATATTGCTACGTACAACAACAACAACAACAACAACAACGCACGGTAAAAAAGAGAATATTTTTCTCGTTAAATTGCATTTCCTCGAAGAAAAGGAAATATAAAGTTCCTTTTTATTTTTTTTTTTTTTTTTATATAAAACTCCATTAAGACTTTGCAATTCAATTAATCATTTTCCTTTTATAAAAGTTATCCGTGTTCTTGAAAAAAGAAAAAAAGGTAAATTGTTGCATTCCTTTTTTCAACTTCGCCAAGTCAATTAATGAAGAGAGTAGAAAAGGATATTCGATTGGATGAAAAAGGGAAGAGAAATATAAGAAAAAAAAAGAAAAAAATAAAGAAAAAAAACCAAGTTCCCTACTTCGAGGAAAGAGAGAAACACGTAAAGAGAGTTACTTTTTTAATAAAATACTATAAAGTTTTGATGATGA